CGACTGTCACATCCCCTGGGTGTCACCGTCCCTGGTCAAACGGCTGTGAAGTGGTCGGTGGTCAGACATGTCTCAGGTGGTCAGTGGTCAAACGGTGTCACACAGTCCCTGTTTGAGCAGGTGACAAGCACTTGGTGGTCAAACAGCTCCGTGGGCTGTGCTGGGCCAGCAGCTGGGACGGTCAGTGGCCAAAGGGGTGACAGATGGTCAGTGGCCAAATGCCCGCTTCCGAGGGCACATGCTGAGCTGGGGGTGCTGCAGGAGAGCAGGGCTGGACTTTGAAATGACCTCTGTGGTGGCCAGAGGCAGCTGGGTGACCAGAGCCGGGGGCGTTTGCCATCGTTCCGCTCCCTGCTTGCGTGCCACCGGGCTTAACGACAGCCAGAATTAAATAAACCAATAAAAGTCCCTCTGACAGTTTGCCAGACAGTAACTTTCAAAATGTATTAATCCTTTCGTAGCAAATCGCTTCTCTTTGTACTCACATCTGTCGCTGGCAAGGCAATTTTGCACAGTTAAATGCCTTGCCAGGAATAAAAAAAAAATAAAATAAAAATGGAACAGGTTTGTGGGAAACTCGTGCAGACCTGACTCCAAAACAGCACCGTGTTGAGGTGCAGGTTTTATGTTTGGTGAGATGGATCACCCCAAGCATCCGTGGATGTGTTGTGCAGCCTCTTTCTTATCCCTGAGACTCAAACCTTTCATGCTGATTGGGTTTTTATCCCTGGTGGAATGTGGATGTTGTTTGTTGACACGGATTTCTGATGTGGCGAGTTGTTAGTGTTGGCTTCTAACCACAGGAGTGTTCGTGGATTGACTTCTTGTTTTTCTCACTTGTGCAAACATTTTTTTTTTTTGGAGGGGGGGAAACAACAGCACAAGATGTTTGTTTTCAAAATAAATGGAATTATTGCTAAATGGTAAATTAAAAAATGGTAAATTTTCCTCCTTCACCTCCCCGGGTGACAGGGACATGTTGCTGTCGTAGAAATTCAAGTTGTGTTTGTGGTTTGATTTCACTGAAGGAGGCTGGGATTGTTCAGGCAGCATCTGCATCATTCCCAGTGCCACAGAAATTTAGGATTAGGAAATATAAACTGTGCTGAGGCATCTTGAACACACAGGGATGTTTTGGTCTTTGACCAGGAAGCAGAGTTTGTAACAAACCCTAGAGTAGATTTTCTTACTAGCCTGAAAATCTGGGTGAAACTTCTGTTATTCTTGGAAATGGAGGTGATGATGGAAGATGAAGGGCTGCAGGGATCAAGACCTGGAAATTCTGTCTCTGTTATTGAATCAACAGCATTTGGGTGACAAATCCATGGCCTTGAGACAGCTCAGAGTGACTCTGACCTGCGACTCCTGAGCTTTGTTTGCATTTATTATTTTCTATGTCTTGTTCCTTTTGTGTTTGTGCCTCTCTGAACCTGAAATATTTGGGGAAATTAGAAGTGAATTCAGCTGAATTTGAGTGTTAATAGCAAATGTGGGCTTTATTTTCATCATCTCATCTGCAAACTGACTTTGTGTAGAGTCATGGAGTATTCTGAGCTGGGAGGGATTATCCAGCCCAGCCCCTGGCCCTGGACAGGCCCCCCAAAATCCCACCCTGTGCATCCCTGAGAGTGGTATCCAAACCCTCCTGGAGCTCTCGGGGCCGTGCCCATCCCCTGGGGAGCCTGGTCAGTGCCCCAGAACCTTCTGGGGGAAGAACCTTTTCCAAAATCCACCCCAAGTCCCCTGGCACAGCTCCAGCCTTTTAATTGTTGCAAACAGGCAATTCCAGCTGCTGTTGCCACAAACCATAACAGAGCTGTGGCTCTCTAATTTCTCCCTTATGTGCCTGAAAATCTCCTCCAGAGCAGCTCTTGCCTGGATGTTCTGGAAGTGGAGCTGCAGGGACATTCTGGGTGTCCCTGTGGTGTCCTGATGTCCTTCCCAAGGTGGGATTTGGCTTGGTCACTTTAGGGCAGTCCCTAAATCCCTAAATTTTTCACTGTGAAATGTGAAAAGCACTGGTTGTGTTAGGAAAACAAATGTTTTCCTGGAGGATTGGAGGGAGCTGGCTCCTTGCAATTCTGCACATGCTGTTGTAATTAAGGCACGGCCTTTCCTGGATCCCGAAATAATGGAATAAATCATGTGCTCACAAACACTGGATGTGCTGAATGCTTTCCAACTGGGAAAGATGCAGTGGCTGAGGGTTGGGATGGAGCTGGGTCGTGGAATTAAAGCCCTGTGCTCTTTGCTGCTTGGAAAAGGTGCAGGAGGAGCTGTAGGAGGGTGACATTCCCCTCTGAGATTTGCTTACAATTTAATTTACTGCTCTGCCACTTCCATTCCCTGACCCACGGAGGGATGGCCCTGCCTTTACTCTGCTTTCCTCCTGCAGCCATAATGCTGATTTTAAGATGCAGGATGTCCAGCTGTGCCCTGGCATTGATGCTCAACCCTTGGAAGTGCTTTTGTAGCTTCTGTTTTTATTCAGGTTGGTGGGAAAGCGAGCAGGGATGTTACAGGGTCAGCCTCATACGTGTGACAGCATCCCCCAGCAGCGAAATTTAGGAGAGGTGATGTTTGAGGTGTGTTTTTATAGACAGGGAGCTGTGTCATCAGCTGATTTAATTAATTCCAGCCACTGATTCTTTCCTCAGGGCAAAGCTCAGAGGTCATTTCCCATCACTGACAGTGTTGGTTCTCACACGTCCTCGCAGGAACACAGAATTCTGTTAATTCTGTGATGATTAAAAAAATGACAGCTAATGAACACATCTAAAAATAAAGTGTAGCTTGTGATGCCTGGGCTCTCATGACTGAAACGGTGACAGCTGTGTGGGATCCAAATGATTCATCAGGAATCCGTGTGACAGATCCTACAAGAGGAATTCCTTTCTGTCTGCTTTTCAATATTTGGTATTTCCAGAGCTTTGCTTGTAAAACACAATCAGTAACTTCCAGAAGCACGAAAGGATGAATGTGGAGGATCCAGGCATTCCCATGTGTTTAATTTTCTGTATAATAACGTGCTGTGTGAGGCTTTGCTCTTCCAGTTTGGGATGTGATGCTGCAGCAGGAGAGTTTCAGTGAGGAACTGAACCATCCTAAAGACATCATCTGTCCAGAACTGGATCAAAATTCCTTCTCCTTGTGGTTTCCCTGCTCCATTCCCCCAGCAGCAGAGTGTGTCTGTTCTGCCACCCTTTGGGTGAGGTTCAAACCCTCATTCTTTCCATTGTGTGCACTAATTCTCCTCTGATTATTCTTCTTCAGGGACTACTCCAAGGAGTGGCTTCTTAAACATTCCTTTGGTATCAGCCAAGAGCTTCCTTGCCATCTGCACTCGGAGCTGCAGCTAAAAATTGGTTTTCTTGGTTGAAAAACCAGTGGGAAAATGGGATTTGGAGTAGTAGGAATCCAGTTTGAGAGCTCAGTGGGGTCATTTTTAATAGGACAGCAGTAATTTTTAATAGGGGAATAATTTGGTGCCTTTTCTTCTGGAGGCAGAGCAGCACCCCTGTTCTCACCCTTGCCCTGAGGGCGACTCAGGAGCTGCTTTCTAACTCCTAAGAGGATTTTCTGATTTTTTCCTAACTCCTAAGAGGTGTTAAAAACAGGAATCCTAACTGACAGATCTCTTGCTGTGCTGTAATTTCATCATTAGGAAAAGCTTTTGGAGACAAAAGCCCTTTTTAAAAAATACACAGAGTAATTTTTTGGCGGAGAAA